GGGGCGGGCGCCCGGCTGAGCTGCGCGCGCCGCGTCAGCCCTGCCTCGGTTTCCCACCGCAGCGCCGAGGGAGCTCCTGGCATCGTGAGCATCTGCAAGTCTGGAGGAGTGAGAGGTCTCTTCTGGAAATTAAGGTGGATGCCTTCCCGGGGCCGGATTCCCAGCCGGCCATTCCTTCCTCTCCTTTCTTTCACTTTGTAAAAGTTCGAGGCTCTCTTTCAAGCCCAAGTGGGCCCTGCCATTGGGAAAGGAAACCTTTAGCATAGCAGAGAAGTGATCGTGACAAAGTTCATAATAACCCTGGCCCTGTGAGCACGGTCTTCTCCAAGCCACTCAAGAAATTCAGTGCACTCGTTGCTGTGGGTTGTACTTTTCTACAGTAATGGCTCAGGTTAAAAACTCCTTAAGTTATAAAATGCTATATCCGGAAACTTCACACCATATTTTTGTTAGTTTGTTTTTTGGTAGGTAAGCTTCACTTCCATAATAAGAGAATTATATTTTTGTATCGTGATTTTTATTTTTTTAATTTATCTTTATTGTTGAAAGTCCCCATTCCCGCCCCCTCCCCAGAATTATTTTAATCCTACCTTTGGTGGTAAGAACCCAAAAGTGACATAGTAGACCCAGTGGGTATATCAGAAAACAGCTGGGTGAAGTTGACTCACTGTGACAGAACTGTCAAAAATTCGGGGTCATTGTAATCTGCAATGAGGATCAGGAAAAATCAAAATAGTAAAGCAGTTCCTGTACTGGTGGCCGCATCCCTTCTAGGCACTTTCCTCTTCTTTCCAGTTGGTGCCTGAAGGTAAATAATGGTGTCTAATTTATGTGCCTCAGTAATCCCTATATATAGATAACTAGAAGAAGGGGAATGTGACTCTCATGCTACAAAACATAAATTTTACTAGTGCATATTTTCCTTGAAATTTCTGTTGAGAAAATTAACATGCAATTATAAAAAAATAAATAAAAATAACACCGAGAAATAGTTCACTTTGCCCAGTTCTCCCCAGTGGTAATGTCTTCCAAAATCACAATCAGGATGTTGACATTGATACAATCCACCTTAAATTTTCCATTTTACTTGTACTCATTTGCATGTACCTGTATTCCAGTTCAATTTTCTAATCTGTGTAGGTATCCACCACCATGGTCAGGTACTAATGCATTTTATTTCTAGTTTGTATGAAATAATAAGGTAATGTAATGAGGTCCACAATAATGACCCTAGCCACCTTAGCACTGGTTTTTGGAAATTTTAAAAACATAATTTGGCATTAAAACTGTCCTAGTCATATCTCTCCAACTATTCTCATCTTACAAAAGCACCTGATAGAGTCTGATGATAGTGTCAGCCAAACAATAGGGTTTCTAAACCACCATTTGTTGGCCCAGTGCACCTGGGTGCCTTTCAGAATCTAGCTCCTATCTCACAGCCACCTGGCAATACAAGGTCTCCCATTCCTTACTGAATTACAGAAAAATTCCTGGGCCTGGGATTCAAAGCTCTTCGTGATGTAGTGTGACTTCCTGACCAGAATTTTCTCCAATTCCTCCCATCTGCATGCGTTTTTTGTTTCGTTTTCCAGGAAGACTGTTCAATTAGATATTTCCTCCCTAGGACCCTCAAATCTCCTTGCACCAGACACACTACTTGTACCAGTGTACTGAGATGATGCCCCCCCCCCCATATCTGAGCCACTAGAAAATGGACTGGGTCTCATTCAGCTAAGTATACACTTCCCAGGACCTACACATAAATAGGAGTAACTCTTGTGAGTGAGGATTCAAACCCAGGCAGTCCAGCTCCAAACTGTATGCTCTTAACCTTCCATTCAACTGCCCAAATATAGTAAGTACTACGCAGAATGCTAAAGACCAACCATCTGCCAAGGTGGCAGTGGACCCTGCGATGTAACAATTGATTTGCGTCACTTATGATACAAGACAGTTTGTTACCGCCAAGTATTAGGAAGGAAGAAACTAACTTGTAACACATTAGAGACACAGTGATCCACTTCATGGTAACTCATGCTGAGATAGAAACTCTGAGTGGGCCTTAAGGTAGAAAGGAAAGCCCGTGGGTTAGAAAAGCAATTTTCAACCAGTGTGCTGCAAGAATTTTTAAAACATGCAATACCTGACTATTTAAGCAGAGGCACCGGCCTCTTTACTCTTAGATTGCCAAATAAAATTTAAAAATTACAACAGCCAACACAAACAACAATAGCTGTCTGGTGTGGATGAATCAAAATTATACCTATTTTTTGTCAGATCGGCAAAAAATATATATTTTTGGGTGTGCCACAGGATTTTAGTCATAAGTTTATGTGTGCCATGAGATGAAAGGGGTTGAAAATTGCTGGGTTAGAACTTACCCTAAGGAAGCACCTGGCGCAGGAATATAATGCTTTGTAGGACAAGATCTGTTAGTAATAATGATACAATGTGTCTCATTTCTAATGAAGTTGAGCACCTTTTCTTATGAGGAGTCCAGATGGTATGACCACTTTGGAAAAGTTTGGTATTAGCTAGTGAAGTTGAAGATAAGCATACTCTATGCTCCAGAAGTTCCTCTTAGGAATGCAGCCAAAGGAAACACAGGTACATGTGCACCAGGACACTCATACAACAATATTCTCTGTGGCATTTTTATAATAACTCCCAACAAGAAGCAAACCAAATGTCCACTCATGGTAGCAAGGGAAAAATGAATTGTGATATAATCACACAATGGAATACTATACAGTGTTGAAAATGAAGGAAGTATAACTTTATACAGCAACATGGATGAATCCTAAAAATATATCGAGTGAAAGAAGCATTAAATAAAAGAATCCATGTAGTATAGTTGTGTTTATATAGTTTAAAAATAAGTAAAATTTAACAGCATTATTTAGAGATGTATACTTCCGTGGCAAAACTAGAATGAAGGAAAAAAACTAGATAGAAGAACATGAAGTTACCAATAAATCCGGGGTGGTGGTTATCAGTAGGGATAGAGTGTTGTGACAAGGAAGGGAAAAGTGAGTGGGGGCTTTTGGAGTGCTGGCAATGTTATGTTTTTCTCTTGCTACATGGTGTCCACCATAATGATTCATTAAGCTGCATATTTGTTTCAAGCACTTTTTTCTATATATCTGTTATATTTCACCATTTTTAAACGTTAGAAATAAATTGTGCAGAGAGTTGCCAATATCAAATGCCTCCCATGTGCCCAGGGCTTGACCTGCTTCTGAATCCTATCCCCTCTCACATTTTCACAATCTTTTAGTATACATCATTTCCACTCTTCTAGATCTTCAACCTCACTCTATACTGGATCCTCTTCATGAGCATTTAAACATACAGAAGTCTCTTTCCCATCTTAAAAATGACAACAAATAACCTATTGCTTTAACCTCATCCCTAGCTACTGTCCTTGCTCCTCCCTTTCACAGATAAACTTTTGAAAGGAATTGACCTCATTACCTCCATTTCTTTACCTCCCACTATTCCTCAACCCTCTTCAATTGGTCTTCTGCCTCCACCACCTATTTTATCAAAACAGGTGTCCCTCCAGCCTTCATGACTCAGAATAGCTAGCTCAATGGGCCTTTCATCCAACCTATCTTGGATCGTTCAACATTGTTGACCATCACCTCCCTGAAACATTCTCCCTCTCTTCCTGGCACAATCTTTTCGTTTTCCTCCTCCTTCTCTGGCTGCTCACTCTCATTTCCCTTTGCCAACCCGTTTTCCTCTAGCTAACTGTTAAATATTACAGTTCTGGATCCTAGGTTTTCTTCTGTTCTCGATGCTGTCCAGTCTCCAGCTGATGCCAGCTACTTGACTCCATTGGTTTTGATTACCATTTATTTGCTGTTGTCTTTTAGACATGCTCATGCAATCCATAGCTCTCCTTGGAACTCCAGACACATATTTCTAATTCCCTGCTTGCCAGTATAACCTGGGTATCTCAAAAATTATGTCAAGCAACCTGTCCAAAACTATGATCTTCCACTATGAATATGATCCTTGTCATGTGTTTTCCATATATCTGGGGGAAGCACTAGAAACCTAATGTCAGGCTTGATACATCCCTACCTGCTGAATACCCTTCCAGAGTGGTCTACTCCATATAGGACAAGTTAATCTAAGGGCCTGCATGAGCCAACCTCTCCCTGCCTTTTCAGGCATCTTGCATCACCCCCTTTCAACTGGGTGTTCCTAGCCCACAGGATAAATTTAAGTTCCTCAAATTTATCATTTGCCCACAAGGCCCTTGTTTGTGTTAGCATAGCTCCTTGGAATACTTTTCCCCTCCTCTTTGTCTAATTCCTTCCTCTTGTCCTGTTATTAGCTCAAATGTTATTTCATCCAGTGAGTTTTTTTTTCCTGATCCTCAGACTTTACCACATGGTTTTCTATTGTACTAGTTATCTAATGCTGGATAACAAATATCTCCCAAGCTTACTGTCTTAGACAGTAATAATCATGTATTACTTCTCATGATTTCTGTGGGTCAGGTGGTCCTGGCTCTTGGTCGGTCTCTCATGAGATTGTAGTCAGATGTCAGCCAGGAAGGCAGGTACCTGAAGGTTTGACTGGGACTGGAGTTCCCACTTCAAGACTCTTCACGCCTATGGCTGGCAAGTTGGTGTTGTGGTGGCCATAGGACCCTGTTTCTTTGTACTTGGACCTCTTCATATTTCTTGGGCTTGGGCTTCTTCACAACATGGTCACTTGGATTCAAAGCCAAGCACCGAGAAAGGGAGAGGGAGGGAGACAGCCTTATTCTTTTTCTTAACTAGCCTCAGAAGCCATGTAGCATCTCTTTCACCGTATTCTCTTTGTTAGAAGTGAGGGGAATTAGATTCTAACTTTTTTTTTTTTTTAGATTTTTTTCTTTAGATTTTTTTTTTTTAGATTCTAACTTTTAGAGGGAAAGTGTCATAAGATCTGCAGACATTTAAAAAATCACCTTACTCTCCCTTCCTGGACCTGTCACAGACTGAAATTTTATGTAACATAATTATATTATAAAGATATAGTATGTAATACATAGTATATATGTCTGTGAGTACTTGATTACTGCCTACCTTCCCACACCAGAACATATGCTAGTGAAACCAGCTAGTGGAACAGGAATCATATCTCCTTTGCCTACCATTTTATTCCCAGAACCTAGCACATTAGCTGGTAATAAATGTGGAATAAATATATAAATAAGTTATTAATTATGTGTCACAACACAGGCAACAGCTTATTTCAGTAGGTATCATTCTTTCCATTTTATAGATGTGGAGTTGAAATGACTGGACAACTTCCTCAAGGACCAAAGATTGAATCAAGGTCTCACTGATACCAAGCCAGAGCTACTTCTAGGACTCCAGATGTCCTCCCTGTGACCACAAAAGAAGCACAGAAGCTACTTTGGCCTGAGTAAAGAGCCTCCTGTGTCCTCACACTTCCTCATCAAGAAGACTTGGGGGAGCTCACTCGGCTTCCCAGGTGTATGGATTTAAGGGCAGGACTGTCACTACGGTAAGAAAACACTCAGATTATAGTCGTGAAAAAAAAAAATCATTCTCCAAAATAATTGATCTGTGTGAGTGTGCTTATCAAGAGCAAAAAGGAGAGAATGTGAAGTTTCTGAAACTACAAGCTTATTGTTGGGAGGATCAACCAGAGTTGTCACTGAGAGAACTAGTACCTCTCAGTAAATGGCCACATCTCTACCTGGCCCATTGCATTCCTCCACTCCTGTAGAAGGTCTCATCTCCTTCTTCACTAAGGAGAAAGGGGCCATTCAGTAGCTGCTCTGTCCAATGAGGGGACCATTAGTCATGTGTGGCTATTTACATTAATTAACATAAAATTTTACAAATCAGTTCCTCGGGGACATTAGCCACATTTCAGGTGCTCAGAAGCCACCATGTAGCCAGTGGCTACCATGTGGGGAAGTGCAAATAGAGAACATTGATATCATCACAGAAAATTCTGCACAATGCTGTTGCCAGAGAACCAAGGTAATCCTAGCTCCGGAGAATTCCAAGTCCATGGGAAAAGAAAAAACTGAGGGCTGGAGGAATGTATTCACCACAGGGAGAGCCCCAACTCACACTTGTAGGACACGGTCACTAATCCTGGGGCTCTGGGCATGGATTTGCCTCTGGAAATCTGTGGTCCCTCATCAGGCTTCCTGCTTCTCCATCTATCCCAAGCCATCAGCTTCGTTGTATTTTATTTTTGTATTACAGTTTGCATTCAACACTATTTCATATTAGTTTCAGATCTACATTCCAGCAGATAGACATTCATATACTTTGCATAGTGTTCCCTCTAGTAACTCAAGTGCCCGCCTGGCGCCCTAGATAGTCACCACAACATCGTTGACTATATTTCCTGTGCTTTCTCTTATATCCCTGTGCCTCTTTTGAAACTACCAACTAGTACTTCTCAATCCCTTCACCTTTCAACCTCATTTTAAATAATCACATCACTCTCCAGAGCAGACCTCTCCTTGCCTGCTGTCCCGAACCCACTGAGCCTACCCTAGCCTGGAACAACACATGTCTTACCCCTCTCTCTGCTTCAAACCATTCCATCTCTATACTCAGGCTGGTTGCTGTCTCTCCCGTATCATAGTATGCGATTTCCCTCCTTCTCAATGGCACCCCTCCCCCAACTTCTCCATCAACATGTGTTCCAGATTCTATGTCCCTTCACCTCCCTGGAGAACTTGCTTTGCTCATTATTCTCTCTCTCCATCATATTCCATCTTTCTCTCCACCAGCACTCTCTTCAGCCTTCAGATATGCAGTTTGCCCAACGATATTAACAACTTTAATTGACCCTTTAGGGGCCACCATCCCATCTTCCCCTTCACTTCCCTACCAGTTGCCTTTGGGGAGCTGTCTGCAGAAAGGCTCTACATCCTCATTCCCCACGTAGGTCCTGGCTCTCATCCAAATCAGTTGCTTCCCATTTAATAAAACTTGTTCTGGATAAGGCATTCAAGTCTCTCCACAGTCGGTTTCTGACCTAACTTCTTACCCATCTTTCTCTTTGTCATCTAACCACACATCTCTTCACCAGCCACCACACATGTCTAAAACATTCCTGTGCCTGCATCTTTATTAATACCATTTCTTTTGCCAGAAATACTTGCTCCATGCACATCCCCTGCATCTTTGGGGGCTGAGCTCAAATGGCTCCTTCTCGATGAAGTCTTTCTGGTAATGAAAGCCCGTTGTATTTCTCTGGCTCCCACACTGAGCACAGACCACCTGGGGCTACTATGTATTGTGTATGGATAGTTATCTTCTCTCCCTAGCTGAATTTCAGGGTGCTTCCTGGAAAGGAATGAGCATGCATATCATTGCACTCCTAAGAGTTCTTAGATGCAGAATCTTGTGCACAGTGGATATTCAAATATTGGTGGATTGACTCATTCACTGACGTATCCCATCATCACTTATGGAGGGGCCAGGAGTAAAGCAGGCAGTACTCTTTTAAATAAGCTTCCTGGAAAGAATATTCTGAAATGGAGACTGTCACAGCTATTTGCTATGTAAATGACCTGAGGATGAAGGTGGCACATTAAAATGTAATATACCTCTTTGGAAGATCCTGGAGCTATGGGTATGAACGTGCTGGAAACTAGGAAAAGCTGCAGAGCTGGCAAGTGTTGTTGTCATTGTTGGTACATTTTGGTGGTTAAAAAAAATTGTGCTGTGTGTGTGTGTGTGCGTGTGTGTGTTCCTGCTTGGGGCAGGGAGTGGAGTTGGTACAGGGAGAAAAGATACAGGCTTTGGAGGCAGGCAAACCTTGTCCTGGACCTCAGCCTCATTGTTGACTTGATGTATGAAAGTGGGTAAGTGATCTCTCTTTACACTGTAGAAGAACATTATTGACCTAAGGAAAGGTTTATGATAAAGATATAAACAACAGGGTATCATATTTATAATTTGTTTTTGAAAAGGATTTGTGAATATACATGTATGCACAGAACAAGGACCAGAAAGCTACATGCCAGAATGCTATAGATATTTCCTTTGGTTTTTTCTGTGCTTCTCAAGTTTTAAGGTACAGTGACTTTTTAAAAGAAGGCCCGTTAAAATAATGTGGGTTAAGGAATTGTAATATCAAAACCCCTAAGCATCTGTGTTTTTAAGTAGTTTAAATTATTTCTTTGGGTTTAAAGCTATGTGTGTTTTTCTTTCAACATCTGAGATATTCAGAAAAAAATGAGAGGAAGCTGAGACACGATACCCTATCACTCCCAAATTTTTATTGTGTCTTTCCTTCAAATAAGAAAATTCCAGTATACATGCATACCTTGGAGAAATTGCAGGTTTGGTTCCAGACCTCCTCAATAAAGCAAGTGTCGCAACAGAGCACGTCAGAATCTTTCTGCTGGTGGAGAGTCTCACCTTCAGTTTGTAAAAAACACAACATCTGTGAAGCGCAATAAAGCAAAGCACAATGAAGTGAGGTGTGCCTTACAGCCTGTACAGCCATTTTAATTAGGAAATTAACACTGACCTCTGAGCCTCTAACCTCATTCAGGTTTCCTCAATTACCTAATAGTGGCCTTTATAGCGAAGGATCCAGTCCCAAATTATGTGTTGTATTTAGTTATGTCTCTTTAGTCACCTTTAATATGAGTCAGTACGTCAGCATTTGCTTAACTTTCGTGATTTTAATGCTTTGGAAAATCACAGGTCAGCAATTTTGTCCCTTAATTGGGGTTTGTGGTAGCTAAACTCCAAGATGGCCGGCAATGATTCTATGGCATTTAAATATATAAAATAAATATCAAAAATATAAGTCTTTGTTTTACTATGGTTGCAAGTACCAAAAAATTTCTGTATGTGACACGGCACCAGAGTTAAGTTAGGGTTTTTCAAAATGCTGACACGCCGAGCTCAAAAGGTTCGCCATCACTGGGCTAGGTCATAAAAGACATTGCAGCTTCTGCCTTCATCTCTTGCATTGCTCGTACTGGGGGAAGCCAACCATTGCATCATGAGGACACTCAAATAGCCTTGTAGCAAAGCCCACGTGGAGATAAAGCTAAAGCACTTCATTAGCAGCCACATCAACTTGCCAGCCATGAGGGTAAGCCACTTTGAAAGTGGGCTTTCCTACAACCTCAGGAACATAAGCCAGAGCTGCCCATCCAAGCTGATCCCAAATTCCTGAGCCACAGAAACTGTGAAAGATAATAAATACTACTACTTTTTTAATTTTTAAATTACATTTATTTGGGGGAGGGCATTGGCTAATCAAATTATATAAGTTTCAGGTATACAATTCCAATTCCTGAGCCACAGAAACTGTGAAAGATAATAAATACTGCTACTTTTTTAATTTTTTAATTCATTTATTGGGGGGGGGCATTGGCTAATCAAATTATGTAAGTTTCAGGTATACAATTCCATAACACATCATCTGTATATTGTATTGTGGGTTTACCACCCAAAGTCAAATCTCCTTCCATCACCATATATTTGATTCCCTTTACCCTAATAAATGCTATTTTAATCCTCAAAGTTTGGGGGTAATTTTTTACATAGCAATAGCTAACTAATAGAGATCTGTTTGCTTCCTCATGGTTAGATACAAGCTACCCATCTTTGGCAGGCACACCACAGTGCTTAAGCTGTGTTCTGATTACATTCTATACATCATGTATCATTTTAATTTGTTACCTTATTGCTGATGAAAAGTTAGATCACTTGATTAAGGTGGTGTCTGCCATGTTTCTCCATGTAAAATCACTTATTTGTCTGTGTATGTAATTAATAATTTGTGGGGAGTAACTTTGATACCATGTAACTATACTGTGTCTTACCAAACTTTCACTTTATTCATTAATTTTTTAAAAAATCTATATAGATGCTTGGACTCCTATTTTATTAAATGAATTATAACCCATTATTATCATTATTTTTTGATGATCAAATCATGCCATATTTGGCTAGTTAGAGCCCCTTCAACTAGTTTCTATGTCCTTTTGACACGTTTCTATCATTTTATGTGCAATTTGCAACTTTCTAACACTGAAAAAATGTTCCCAACACATCTGATATTTTCCTTGGCCAGAGCTTGTAATTAGCCATTTCACCAAAGAGACATGATTTCTTTTAGTGAAGAATGGTTTTTAGAAGTCAAGATCTGGATGTTAGGTATGCTCATTGCTTTTGGGTGCTATACTTCCTATTAAGTATATCTTCTAACCTGTTTGACTCAGTGGATAGAGCGTCGGCCTACGGACTGAAAGGTCCCAGGTTCGATTCCGGTCAAGGGCATGTACCTTGGTTGCGGGCACATCCCCAGTTGGGGGTGTGCAGGAGGCAGCTGGTCGATGTTTCTCTCTCATCGATGCTTCTAACTCTCTATCCCTCTCCCTTCCTCTCTGTAAAAAATCAATAAAATATATTTTTTTAAAAAGTCCTATTAAGTATATCTTAATAGGAAGATTTAGGTGATATATTTATATACTTATACATAA